CTCTCTTAGTGGCAAAAGGCGTGGCTTATATTCGATCACGGTGATTGCTTTGTAATTGGCTTTGTTGTGGGGAGCTACTAGACGAAGAAAATATTAAAAAGGAAAGAGAAAGGGTTCATTGGGTGATTGAGAAAATATAAAATGTGAGCAGCATATAATAAAATTTATATTTAATGTATTGTCAATATATTTTATATATTATCAATAAATAAAATAATATCATATTAATAAATAAATAGGAATTCTTAAAATATATATAAATTAATATTTTTTTATAAAACTTACATATTAATAAGATATATCATCTAATTTATTTTATTAATGAAATAAAATCATTTAATTTTTTTCACAATATATCAAATATAAATCCATTCAAAAATTATATTTTTGAGAGTTTTTTTTTTGGGACATTCCCAAAGAGATGAAATGGTCGGTTCTTATTTGGAGGAACTGAAAAATATGGCTATCCACAAAGAGACAAGAAATACAATTAATTTGTCAAACCTTAAAAAAAAAAAAAAAAAAAGGACCACCAAAACTAAACAACCCTGCCAAACAAACGAATTCTTGTTTTCTCCTAGTGGCACCCCACACGAAATAAAAAGTCCGTTGGCACGTATCAATCCCTTAGGTTTTTTTTGTTAGAAAAAATAAAAAGAGGTAAGACAAAAACTTTATTAATTTAATAGTTCAATCACAAAATATGAAAATAATTATCAATTTTAATCATTAAATTAATAAATTTTACATCTTCATTTCTTTTCATCTTTGCTAAGTAGAACTTTAGTGCATGTTCCCTACAGGAAAAAAAAAAAAAAAAAAGGTAAGCAAAATGGTCCAAACATTTGCAGCATACAATACTTGTCCTATCTACTGGGGACCCTCTTTTGTGAAAAAGCCAATGCCCCAACTGCTCACTTCTGCGCCTTTCTGCTGTCCTTAGGTATGACCATCCTAATGCCACACGATCGGCATCTTTGAAAGAGTAATAACATGATCCAAATTCATAGCCCTAGCTATGCTTTCGTTTCTAACTTCATTCATTAGGTCAGCACGGCTATACTTTTTTTGAAAGCTCTGTTCATGCACTACAAAATAGAATCAAACCCTTATTAACCTTTTAGCTTTTCACACATTCCTCTCCTCTAATGAATTCTGTGACAACTTCTTCTTCATCACGTCCATTATTCGCAATCTTATAGATAGATTCTAGGTAAGATATGTTTGAATTCATGATTTTTGTTTTTCTCAGAAAGAAAAACCTATTTCCCCGAATATATCTCGAATGTGTATTTTATCATAATTTTGATTCAAATATTGTTGCATATTTAAAAAAAAAAAATGGTCAAGTGAAAAACATATTCATTTATCAACTTGGTTGACTAAATGAAATGCGTTGTGATCAATATGTACGGCTTTGCATTTGTCCATATGCATCAAGAAGGAATCATGCATGCATAGACCAAAAGGATGATAGGTTCGGCTGCCATGCAATCCCAAGGTGCCAATGGCTGCAGCTGCAGGGGCATCTATCTGGACTAGACGATGCAAAACTATTAGCACTTCAGGAATTTTGCAACTTGCGACTGTATAGCTTGCTGGACAATAGGCAAAGGCATATATCAATAATGGGGGTCACCATTGAGGGGAAGAATACTGATTTCTGAAGGCTTTTTTAGCCCAGCAGGGGTGGCTTTCGGCCAGGGGCTGGTTGGATTAACGTTTGACATAAAATCAAGGTCCTCAAAACACTAGTTATGGTTTAAAAGTTAGTGACCACCTGCCACTGCGGCATACCTTAGCTTCCTTCCCTCTTATTTATTCACTGAAAAAACAACAGAAGATAAGGGCCGACCACTCACCACAACTTCCTCCCAAAGAGGGAGAGTGGGTTCTTTGAAAAGACGTTTTACAAGGGAAAAATAGGCTGAACAGCACAAATACCTTTGCCAATTGTCAGTTTTATGTATTGATGTGCCTTTCATCCATTCTTTTTATATATTAATTGGTTAAGATTTTTAAATCGAACAATATATTACGCGCATTAAAATATCAAAAACATATCACTTATAATTATTAGAATATAATTATTCAATTATATTTTAATATTGTGTGGAATTTATCAAAAAAATTATATAAAACTCATATTTTTAAATGATAAATTTTCAAAAAAAAAATTTATTATAATTGATTGATTATAGTATTGTAAGAAAAAAATTTTAAGTGATATGAATCCTAAAATATCATAGTCAAATGATTCATTCATTTATTAATTTTTATTACAAAATTTTTGTGGAATACTAAAATTTTAAACATTAATATTTTTCGTGGGTGCGTGAAATGTTATCCTACGTACTCTTTATAGATTTCTTTTTTGCCAAATTCTTTGGTGCATTAACACACTACACCACTATTTCAAGCAATTGGGGCGGTTTCCTTCATTTGTTGGGGTTTTTTATTTTTTAGGGTTTTGTGATTGGTGAAATGGGTTTGTTGTGGCGCACCAAAACGATGCCATCGGTGGACTACTAAAGCAAAAAGTGGGTTGAGATGCGAGACACGTGTCACTCTTAAAGGGCCACTAGTCCAATAAAACACTGAAAATGATTAATAACACGTGTCTTAAAAATATTCGATACAAAGTTGAGAACAATGTGCTGGAAAATGATGGCTTCATTGATGTACCTGGCATTGTGAACAGATTCCCCACATCATAAACTTTATATAATAATAAGTATTATTATTCTTTTCTTCAAGTTTCATTTAGGCATAAAATTGCAATGCAAATTTTAATTTATCCAATTATCTCTTTTCTTGTAAAAAAAAATCTATTTTATGAATGGTGGAACTCAACAATTAAATAAAATTGTAAATAAGTGATATAGTTAAAAGTGTCACATAGAACAACAAAAAATCTGAAATATGTGATATATTAATAGACTATTAATATAATATTAAATATTTAATTTTAATACTCAAATTAAATAATTTTAATTTTTAATTTAATTAATCCATATTGTTATCTTTTAATTGAATGAAATAATACATTAAATGCAATTTTAACTATTTTTGACCAATTAACCATACTTGAAAAAAATTTTTACTTCGAGTAGTGATGCATCTAAATATTAGTTATGGTACATTATTTTAATTTGCATTTTCAGGATATTTGAGGATAAGTTTGAGAGTATGGTATGATTTTTTTTTTAAAATCATAATTGAAAAACCAGAAATTTTGTATGCATATGAGTATTAATTAATTGATATAGACAAAAATACCTAGGGAATTCATGATAATTGAAAAAGAGCTAGAAAAGAAGTACTAGTAGAGGTAGCTTAGGGATATATGTACTTCTGAAGGATTTAATAGGATGAAGGGTCCAAATTCAATCTAGACCTAACCTAACCTGGCTATTATGAGACAATTTTCGGTACAATTAGTGAATTTTGGAAGGAGATGGGTTGGTTGGTTGATTTGGTTAAGTCCTACTTGGAGTGGGACTTTGATGGGGATCAACTTTCTAATTCTATCCAAAACTAAAAGGTACATTAAATTTATATTTGATATTAATTGTTATATATTTGTTTAGATTTGATAATTTAGATTTCAAAATTTTTTCAAAACAAACTCATATTGAAAAAATAAATCTTAAATTCATTTATTAAATTTAATTTATATAAAAAATTAAAAAATCCTTTAAGAAATAATATATAAAAATAAAAATTCACATATATATTTATATAATTATAATATTTTAATTATATATTTTATTCAAACTAGATCAAGTCGGATTTGAGCTTTAATTTTTTTGTATAAGGCCTAGTCTAAAATTTAAATAAATTTAAAAATTATTATCAAACTTCATTTAACGAATTTTATTTTTTTATTTAAGCTTTTTTAAAATTTGGATAAACTTTTGAGCTTAGATAAATAATCCGACTCTTAAACAAATATAATCATTACCAAAGCAATGCCCCCAACAACACTAACACATTCGTCTCAAAGGTTTCAAATGTCAATTGAAGTAATTTTTTTTATATAAAAGGGTCACATAGCATTTAAATATCAGATTACTTAAATGTTATTCTTTTATAAATAATTTTATAAATCAATTAAATTAAATCTTAAATTCTTCTCCTACTTAGTATTTACTTCGCAAAATTTACATAGATAAAACTTGTATGTATTCGATTGTTAAGTATTGAATTTTTTTTTTTTTTTGTTTGTTTGCTTGTTATGGGGGGTTTAGTACTGTTAGAGTTGTAGCAACAAGGCAACAAGTGAAGGAGAAGGTGGTGGGAGAAACTGCCAAAAGCAGAGGCACTGCTCCAATTTTTGTCATCTGAGAAGTCGACAGAGGTAATAATAGCTGGTTTGCTACATATGACATAAATCCCATCATAACCATGGAATGATCACTGTTTCCCATTAATATAGGCAATATTTTCCATACTAACCCATTGAGTAATTCAAAGAAAATAATAAAAAAAAGGATACTGTTATATATATATATATTACTGCATGTGTATTTAATACATACTACTATGTATTATAAAAAAATAAAAATGAAAGAGATCATCAAAAGGAAAATTGGTCCAGTTTTAAAGAAGAGGAAAGCTTTGGGGATATGAGGAAAAAAAGAATATATAAAAAGGTGGACTTCAATTTGAAAATTAAGTACATATTATAAAATGAGGAGGTTTAGGCCAAAAGGTATTATGCTAATTTTCCATTTTAGGTAGTGCTCAAGCTATAGGTTGTTGCCTTAATAGGAAGGTAACAACGAGAAAGGCAGGGAGAATCCTTTTCCACAAGTCCTTAAAACAACCGACAGCTTAAACCATTTTTTTTCTTCTCTTTCTTTCACTTCTTAATCCAACTATATATAAGTCCAAACTTATCTTTACAAATTAACATTCAATAAATTTAAAAGTTAAATTTCAATATTTCTGTAACTGATTTTTTTTAAAAAAAAACATGTTTAATTTTTTGTCACAATTTAGTATGTCTGTTATTAATACAACATGGGATTACAAAAAGACAAAAGACGAGAAAAGGGGCTCTTGTACAATAGAAATTAGAGTGGAAAAAGTCTTGAAAAACTCTTTTATGAGGTGGGGGTAAAAATGGGGTGACTGAACTCTAATTAATGCTCAGCATCAGCGTGTGAGTTTGATAGGAGAGGGTCTGTTTCAAGCAGTGAAGCAGACTTCACAAGTTCATCAGTAATGCAAAGTATCCCTTCAAGATCAGCCTTGTTCTTGTTGTTAGTTTCCATAAGGTTGGAGTACTCTTCTTGTTTTTGTGATATTGGCAATGGAGAAGGTTTGCTACAATTACTGGCTTCTGTGAGCACTCTTGCTCTTTCTACTTGAACCATCCAATCTGTTCTACAAAGAACTAATAGCATGAGAAATGCACAGGATGCTTGAGCTGCAAGCAAGCCAAGCCAAAGCCCGGCAAACCCCATTTTGATCACGAACGCCATTAGGATAGATACTGGCATCCCTACCAGGTAAAATGACCCCAAATTTATGTTTGCTCCGATGGTTGGCCTGGCGCTACCTCTTAACACCCCACAACCGGTTGTTTGAGGGCAATTTCCAAGCTCACAAAGCCCAGCAATTGGCAATGCAACTGCTGTAAGCTCAAGGATTTCAGCGTCACTGGTGAAAAACTTGCCCCATTGGTGTCTCATCAAGGTTGTGAACAACATCGCCGACAGGCCTACAGCTACGGAGCAGAAGAGAGAAACGATCATGGAAATGCGAGCTTTTCCAGGCCTGTTTGCGCCTAGTTCATTCCCAACTCTTGTGGATACTCCAACACTTAATGCTGAAGGGAAGCAATAGACTAGAGAGGTTGTCTGAATAAGGATCCCCATGGAAGCAATGGTAGCCTTGGGGTTAGTAAGTAGGCCACACAGCAATATCATGAATTCATACCACCACCATTCAAGGCAAACTGAGGCACAAGTTGGCACTGCTAGAGCAAGCAGAGAGGACCAGCCCCTAAGACAGTCAATGCTTGGAGTTACCCAAGAATCTTTATATACACCTGAGAAGTATACGAATGAAGAAAGCAAGAGGAAGAGGTTGAGATTAGTCCAAATCATAGCTATAGCCACCCCTTCAACACCAAACTTGAAGTGGAAAACAAGAAGGAAATTCAGTGGGACGTGGATAAGCACTGAAATGGCTGAACAATAAGTTACAGGTAATGTAATGCTTTGGGTCCTGAGGTAGATGCGAAGTGGGTGAAGAAGTGAAAGGAAAAATAGGTCAGGAATGGAGAAAAGAATAAATGTATGAGCCACGGATGATATTTCTTGGTCTTGACCACACCAAAGAAGGATAGTTTTCATGTTGACCCACATGAAAGAAATAGGGATAGAAGCGGAGAGGAGGAGAAGCACCGTTCTCTGTAGGGTTAGGCCAACAAGTATACATTGTTTGGCACCAAAAGCTTGTCCACAAATGGGTTCCATTCCCATGGCTAAACCAGAGATGACAGAGTAGCCAGTAATGTTTGCAAAACCAATGGCGAGAGAGCCACCAGCGAGCTCAAGCTCACCAAGATAGCCAAGAAAGACCATGGAGATCATGGCTCTTGAATATAGAAGTAAACTACTGATCGCTGTAGGGCCTGAGATCTTCCCTATGGCTTTGATTTCTTCCAGGGCCTGAATGCACACAAAGCAAGAATATAATAAGCCGTTGGCTGATAAATAAAAAGTACTCTTTTTCTAAATGGCTACAGAAAAACAATACAGAGCCAAGTACTTGTTTGGTTTATATAATTTAAGCTGTTTTTATACCTCATAGAGAGTTGGAAATCTATGTAGTTTTTCTTCATCATCATTGAGAAGATCCACGGTTTTGTTGAAATGGGTTTGGCTAGAAGGGAGAAATGAAGTCGTTGGAGAAGATGGCTTTGGGTTATACATAGCTAGAGTTAATTTCTAGACAAAAGAAGTTACGGGAAAAGAAAAGAAAGGAAGGGATGGGTATGTTAAATGAGACTGATTGCAAGGGAAAAGAACGAGCTTGTTTGTGCTTATGCGGTTTGTTTGTTTTGAGGGGTTTGGAGAGGAAGAATGTGGATATTTATACTGAGGATTGGGGCCTACTGTTTTGGGTGAACGTGTGTGTCAATATTACAATATATTGAAGCCAATGCTGGAAAAGCGTCTGCTAAAAAATGCATTAGAAGTTGGAAGAGGCGGGGCCGCCCATCCGATCCTTTTTTTTAGCCTTTTTGTTCTCTCTCTCTCTCTGAATGTGATGCAGTGAAGGTTAGTCACTTCGAATTTGTATTCCTTCTGTTCAACAACTGAGGTAGAGAGTACTCTGAGAGAAAGAGAGCAAGAGAAACGCAAGTTTTCAGTGTGGAAAGGATCCAGACAGCCGTGTTCTCATCTTTTCTTTATAAAATAATAAACAATTAATAGTATTAGAAAGACGTGGTGAAACCCACGAAATTGTTTGGCATAATGATCATGCGGTGTGTGGGGGGCCCTTTTTTGGCATTTTGGATTGATATGTGGTAGGTTTAATCTTGAGTGTTAAATAAATTACCTTTTTTATTAAAGTGGATAATCTTGAAAACCATTCTCTCATCTATCTTTAGGTTATTGTAATATTTGTATTAGTACTAAATAAAAAGAGATAAAGAAGCTTTACCTTGAATTTGTCAAGTGGGAGTGGATTGACAAGCAAATTAATTTCGGTCCTATGCTTGGCGAAATGACAGGAGCATATCGGAATATATATTGACAATTGCTGCTAATGCTTGCTACATATGTAACTTTGTAGGCTGATAAATTTGTTTGCTTGTTCCAAGGCAGCCATGCATGTTCCATGTCCCATTTTCTGCAACCAAACCGAGCATCGATCTCTTGACTCCTTGCCCAATATAACAGGTGACAATGCCTTTGTTGATATCTGTGTTGCAGGCCCCATTTTTTCTGTCTTTTGCTGATGTTCACTTCATTCTTTTTGAGGGAAATGAGTAAGAGAGAGTGAAGCAGCCGACACTAGCTTGGCGTTAAAACAATAAAATATACTTAATACTGCTACAAAAACTTGTGGTGGAGTTTCTTTCTCTAATATATATGGCTAATAAGTTTGCTCCAACTCCATGGGTAATAAAAAAAATGGATTGCTTGCTGCTAGCTCCATCAATAGATATGCTAAGATCTTGGCAATAATATATTACTATTGATCAGTCTTGGAGGGAAGCCTCTTTTAATATAGTACTAACAAAAATAAAAATCAAGGGTGGCAGCCTGGTGTATGTATATAAAGCTAATGAGTTCAGTTTCCGGATCATCCAAGTTGCTCATTCCCAGGTGTCGGGAATGCTGCTGGGTTCAAAATATTGCAAGATTTGAGAGATGAGATGGGCAAAGAAAATGAAAGTTGAGAGCTTAAGGAAATGAAAGTAAAAAACATGTGGGGATTTAGGGATTCAATTGACCATAGTGCCAGTGGATCTTTTTCTCTTTTTTTTCTTGCAAAAAAGAAAAGAAAAAAAAAAGGGTATTGTTGTTTAAAAAGGTTATCTTCATGGGTATATGTGAAGGTAGGTACTGTGTCGAGAATGGGACCACCAAGTCTGTTAATGGAGATGACAGTAAATGACTGGACATTGGAAAACCGGCAGATGGAAGAAAGGGAACACTGACAGAAAATTACGTGCTCCAATTGCAACCATGTAATTTGCATCCCTTTTCTCACAACAGATCACCGCCACCCTTCCAAATCAACTCGAGCAGCTTAACCTCCTTTTTTTTATTTTTGTTTTCTGTGTTCTCATTTTGCAAAGTCTGCGCCACCGGGCTGCTTCAAGAAAAGAATCAATTTTTGCTTTGTTTCTTATTTTAATGAAGATATCATACATGATACTACTATTTCCATGAAATCCGTACTCCTGCCCCATTGTCAGACTCATGTGTCTTCCAGCTAGATAAGTTGCTGTAGATGAGAGCAATGTGTCATGCAACTCAACCCAATCGGACAAATGTTCGTATCAGATAAAAAAACTGTGAACCCAATATCGAATTTAGCATTTCTACTGGGGAGGCGCTGTTCACCAGATTGTACAAATAGAGATTGACAAGTTCTAGGATCACAAGATTGAAATTCTTTTAATGGACGGTAAGATTAATTTTAATAAAATTAAAATAATAATAATAATTATTATTATTATTATTAAAAATTTTATTTTAATTATGTAAATTTTTTAATAATAAATTATATTTAAATTAATATTTAAATTTTATAATAATTTTAATGGACGTTACAATAAAATTCAAATCTAATATGAGAGTGAATGAAACGATGAAAATATTTTTAAATTTTTTATTAATAATTAAAGATATTTAAAAATATTAAAGATTTGATTTCAAACTAATTTTTATTTTATTTATATCAAAATAAATTTAAAAAAAATTGAAACGATGAAGATGTTATTCGCTTCTAGCGTTTAATAAAAAAAGCCTTTTGGATCAGATCGTTGTTGAAGTGGAGTTCAAACAGAATTTTATTGGCATCTCAGAGAGCTTCGTACAATATCGAAACCCGATACGCGACAGTGAAAAGACCTTTTCAGGGTTTGACGTTAACATAGATTATACTTTATCTAGAAACTCGAACAAATTCATTGATCCATGCCTCTCTCGCTGCCCTTAATTTTTTTTCCCCAAAAAAGCTTTGATGCTTGCTTAATCTTAATAAGCAGCCTTACTACAAGTTCTTTTTTTTTGGCCAAAAGCTTACTAGAAGTTCATATGTCAACAAATTCAGCTTGATGGAACTTGAATGTACAAGAATGCAATGTTTTAATTGATTTCTTCTTTTTTTTTTTTTTAATGTAGGGGAAAATGTCACAAATATTCCATTACTACTACTGTTTTCCTGTTTCAATGTTCCATTCCAATGCCACAGCTGTCTCTCTGATGATATATGCAAATGGCACCAAATTCAATGCATTTCGGGCACATTTAAGGGTACGTAATATGCGTAAACAGTTCTTCAATCAGGGGGTTCAGAAAAAGCTAATAATTTTATATTGTTAATCAGCCACTTGACTACGATTTTCTTTGTGCATGAATCATGATTATAACATGGTGGATCAAAATTTGTACGTGCTATGGGGGAGCATTGAATGCAAAACAGCTTTTCATGGGTAGTGATAAAAAAGTGCGACAAACACGAGAATTTATTCCAACGTTCAGATGGCAAGCAAGAAGCAAATGGAGAGGAAAATATGTCAAATTATGATAAAAGAACAGAACAATCATAAAGAACAACCTTCCATAAAAATCGATGAAGCTTTTTCAAAAAAAAATCAGAGAGCGAAAGACTTGTCTCCGTCAAAGTTTCAATCAGCACAACTCACATACTGTTGGTCATAAAGCACAATGAACCACCTTCATACAACGAATTCGAGCACAAAATGCATGAGATTCCAATACATCGTGATTGAACCACAATTGGACAATTGCTAGGTTTCCTTTCAACCAAAAAAAATTATAAAAAAGAACAAAAAAAGTTTATGCTTTTGCTAGGAATAGATCCCAATCAGGAGCAACTTATCTTGGTTCTAAGTAGTAGTCTTGGGACTAATTCTCGAATCAAACACTCGAGGCTTTCACCAACATTTCCAGCAGGTGGACAGATTTTTTATCAAAAAAAATTCTCCATTGATTTTAGATAACTTGTCTCGTCCAGAATTTAATCAAAGCTACAATATACCTCTTTTTTTTTTTTAACAAATTTCATTGAAAGCTACAATATTTGTTATCATTACATTTAAGTTGCTATAATAAGTATAAAAAATGATGCCCCCCATTAGTATTTCATTTTCCATCATGCCTTCCATGTGGTTTCCACCACTTCCATTTTGAAGGCCAGTCTCAATGAGTAATTCTGGAAAATTAGTTACTGTTTTAGAAACAATCTTGTTTTAGGTTTCAGGATTCTCAATATTAGTTGTCCTAAAAGATGTAAAAGCTTCAAAATTTGATGTTGACTACTAACTCACTCTCGCAACATATATAAGGTAAGTAATTCAGTGTTTCAAATATTAAACGAAATTAACATATTGGCAAACAAAACCTCAGATCAGAATGATTGTATTGATCAATAAAGTAACAATAGCTATATACAAATTCTTGCTCTCTGAAAAATTTAATATTCATGGTGATGGTATACAAAAAATAAGGTACAACAAAATTCCTCATGGGAGGGCCCTGGGTTTCTGAGAACTACTTCGAGGGATAGCCAAGATTGCTATCAGTCCACTGGTAAGGGCAGCAACACCTGCTACAGCGAAAGCTGGTGAGTTTCCACCACCAAATAGTTGATCCCATGGTCCACTTCCCAGAGACACAACAACCTATTGTTAAAAGCCAAAGTTTCAAATTTTAAATTGCTTGAAGAAAGATAATAAAAGATTTTCCATCACATAAAAGATACTATTATGGACATTGAGGAACACTTTGAGGAACATATATTTGATTAATGCTAAGCCCCAAAGATGGAAGGCATTATGGACCCTGCCCGTTATAATGAACAAGTAAAAATTCCCTGCCGCATCAAGGACTCCGCCTCCCACCCTGATCAGCTTGGTATCAGGGGCTTTATTCATGGTTATGAGGACAGAGTCAAGTAAGCTATTCCCTGCCCTGCCTGGACATCAATATTTTAATTTGCTATATGATTAATTTAGAAAATTTTTGGGTCAACTTTCTTGAGGAGTGACCATCATTTCAATTGATGTCAATTCTTATTTAATTTGCTTATGTATGCGTAATAGGTGCCAATTAAGCAAGTGAATGTTACAACTTCATAGTTCTTTTTGAAAAAAAAAGAAAATCACAATCAATTCAGGGGTCCTGTCCCATCATGAATCCACAGGGACAGGGGCCAGGGAGGGGATGTCAATTGAAGTTAGGGACAGAGATTGCGAGGATTAGTAAAAACCAATAAGTTCATTTAGCCCCCTCCCCCCAACAACAACAAAAAAGGAAGAAACGAGAAGATAGATGGCAGTAAAATGAGTTCACATGCAAAGCAATACCTGAGGAATAACAATAGCAAGATTTAGGACACCCGTTGATAATCCTGTAGAAAACAACCAAGTGAATCAGTGTCTTAACCACTTTTCCAAAAGGTAAAACAGAGCAAAATTCTGGATGCAAAAATTAAAATATTGCCTACCTTGGCCAAGTCCCAAAGACTCAATACGTGTGGATATCAAGGCATATGGAACACTATAAGTAATCTGAAATGAAATACCAGTAGCATTAGTTAAATGCACAAACTGAATGCTCCCAAT